CCCCCCCCCCGGGGGGGGCAGATTGGCAGGGCCCATTAGAGAAAACATAGCAAATTCTTCAAAAACCTTCTTCTGTACGTATGACAGGATTTTGTCCAAATTTGGTATGAAGCATCCTTGGGTGAAGGGGAACCAGTTTTGTTTAAACGGTGTGTCTAACCCCCCTGGAAGCAGAGAGGTGGGGCCCAATAGGGGAATTATAGGTAAAACCTTTAAAATCCTCTAATCTACCAAAGGGATTAAGGGATTTTATCCTAATTTAATCTGGAGCATCCTTGGGCCAAAGGGACTCAATTTTGTATAAGCAGTGGTTGTGGTCTCCCAGGGGGCAGCAGAAGGGCGCGGGGCCCAATAGGAGAAATAGAGGTAAAACCTTTAAAATCCTTCTTCGACCATCGGGATTAAGGGATTTTATCCTTATTTAGTCTGGAGCATCCTTGGGCCAAGGGGACTTTTTGTATAAACAGTGGGTATGACCCCTCTAGGGGCATAGGGGTGGGGCTCTGTTTGAAGTTTGTTCTTGCTATTTCTCAAGTATTCGATGATCTTTCTGAAATTTCATATGTACTTACAGCACCTACCATTGAGTGTTATATCTTCACTTCATACCAATTATTTTAAAAACATTCAGGTGAGCGATACAGGCCCTCTGGGCCCTCTTGTTTTTCTGTTGTTTATGTAACCGCATGACATTGCTGTATCACATAATTTAATCTTGTCTACTCCAAGGCGTAGAGAAAGAACAATCTTGACCTTTAGTAACCAAATATTGCACAATCAATTCTGTTTTCTGTTGCAGTCTGAGTTGGAGAGTCCAGATGCAGATATCCAGATGTTGGATGTGGTTGGGGTACAGAGCCAGACAGAGATAGACCGTAAGAAGGCAGGCATGAGTCTCCAGGGTCTGAACACCTCACGACAAATACCCGACGACATCCAGACGCCGCAGGAGCCAGACGAAGAATCAGGTACCCAGTCACAAGTTATCCTAAGTATAGCCAAGTTAAGTTTAATTAGTCCCCCACCGTTTTCCGGGGGGGGGGAGGGGGGACCTATAGGTTTGCACTCCTTCCTTCTGTCCAAGAAGTTTTTCCGGGGCATATCTTCTATACTATTTCAGCTTGAATAACCAGATTTGGTGTACAAAGACACCTTGGGATGGCAGAGTGCAAGAATTAGGTCACTGTGACCTATGACTTGACCTTTGACCTTCACTTTTGAAAAGTTTGTCTGGGGCATATCGTCTTTACTATTTCACCTGGAGTAACCAGATTTTATCCACTAGCCTTGTTTCCACTATAGGTTTGCACTCCTTCCTTCTGTCCAAGAAGTTTTTCCGGGGCATATCTTCTATACTATTTCAGCTTGAATAACCAGATTTGGTGTACAAAGACACCTTGGGATGGCAGAGTGCAAGAATTAGGTCACTGTGACCTATGACTTGACCTTTGACCTTCACTTTTGAAAAGTTTGTCTGGGGCATATCGTCTTTACTATTTCACCTGGAGTAACCAGATTTTATCCACTAGCCTTGTTTCCACTATAGGTTTGCACTCCTTCCTTCTGTCCAAGAAGTTTTTCCGGGGCATATCTTCTATACTATTTCAGCTTGAATAACCAGATTTGGTGTACAAAGACACCTTGGGATGGCAGAGTGCAAGAATTAGGTCACTGTGACCTATGACTTGACCTTTGACCTTCACTTTTGAAAAGTTTGTCTGGGGCATATCGTCTTTACTATTTCACCTGGAGTAACCAGATTTTATCCACTAGCCTTGTTTCCACTATAGGTTTGCACTCCTTCCTTCTGTCCAAGAAGTTTTTCCGGGGCATATCTTCTATACTATTTCAGCTTGAATAACCAGATTTGGTGTACAAAGACACCTTGGGATGGCAGAGTGCAAGAATTAGGTCACTGTGACCTATGACTTGACCTTTGACCTTCACTTTTGAAAAGTTTGTCTGGGGCATATCGTCTTTACTATTTCACCTGGAGTAACCAGATTTTATCCACTAGCCTTGTTTCCACTATAGGTTTGCACTCCTTCCTTCTGTCCAAGAAGTTTTTCCGGGGCATATCTTCTATACTATTTCAGCTTGAATAACCAGATTTGGTGTACAAAGACACCTTGGGATGGCAGAGTGCAAGAATTAGGTCACTGTGACCTATGACTTGACCTTTGACCTTCACTTTTGAAAAGTTTGTCTGGGGCATATCGTCTTTACTATTTCACCTGGAGTAACCAGATTTTATCCACTAGCCTTGTTTCCACTATAGGTTTGCACTCCTTCCTTCTGTCCAAGAAGTTTTTCCGGGGCATATCTTCTATACTATTTCAGCTTGAATAACCAGATTTGGTGTACAAAGACACCTTGGGATGGCAGAGTGCAAGAATTAGGTCACTGTGACCTATGACTTGACCTTTGACCTTCACTTTTGAAAAGTTTGTCTGGGGCATATCGTCTTTACTATTTCACCTGGAGTAACCAGATTTTATCCACTAGCCTTGTTTCCACTATAGGTTTGCACTCCTTCCTTCTGTCCAAGAAGTTTTTCCGGGGCATATCTTCTATACTATTTCAGCTTGAATAACCAGATTTGGTGTACAAAGACACCTTGGGATGGCAGAGTGCAAGAATTAGGTCACTGTGACCTATGACTTGACCTTTGACCTTCACTTTTGAAAAGTTTGTCTGGGGCATATCGTCTTTACTATTTCACCTGGAGTAACCAGATTTTATCCACTAGCCTTGTTTCCACTATAGGTTTGCACTCCTTCCTTCTGTCCAAGAAGTTTTTCCGGGGCATATCTTCTATACTATTTCAGCTTGAATAACCAGATTTGGTGTACAAAGACACCTTGGGATGGCAGAGTGCAAGAATTAGGTCACTGTGACCTATGACTTGACCTTTGACCTTCACTTTTGAAAAGTTTGTCTGGGGCATATCGTCTTTACTATTTCACCTGGAGTAACCAGATTTTATCCACTAGCCTTGTTTCCACTATAGGTTTGCACTCCTTCCTTCTGTCCAAGAAGTTTTTCCGGGGCATATCTTCTATACTATTTCAGCTTGAATAACCAGATTTGGTGTACAAAGACACCTTGGGATGGCAGAGTGCAAGAATTAGGTCACTGTGACCTATGACTTGACCTTTGACCTTCACTTTTGAAAAGTTTGTCTGGGGCATATCGTCTTTACTATTTCACCTGGAGTAACCAGATTTTATCCACTAGCCTTGTTTCCACTATAGGTTTGCACTCCTTCCTTCTGTCCAAGAAGTTTTTCCGGGGCATATCTTCTATACTATTTCAGCTTGAATAACCAGATTTGGTGTACAAAGACACCTTGGGATGGCAGAGTGCAAGAATTAGGTCACTGTGACCTATGACTTGACCTTTGACCTTCACTTTTGAAAAGTTTGTCTGGGGCATATCGTCTTTACTATTTCACCTGGAGTAACCAGATTTTATCCACTAGCCTTGTTTCCACTATAGGTTTGCACTCCTTCCTTCTGTCCAAGAAGTTTTTCCGGGGCATATCTTCTATACTATTTCAGCTTGAATAACCAGATTTGGTGTACAAAGACACCTTGGGATGGCAGAGTGCAAGAATTAGGTCACTGTGACCTATGACTTGACCTTTGACCTTCACTTTTGAAAAGTTTGTCTGGGGCATATCGTCTTTACTATTTCACCTGGAGTAACCAGATTTTATCCACTAGCCTTGTTTCCACTATAGGTTTGCACTCCTTCCTTCTGTCCAAGAAGTTTTTCCGGGGCATATCTTCTATACTATTTCAGCTTGAATAACCAGATTTGGTGTACAAAGACACCTTGGGATGGCAGAGTGCAAGAATTAGGTCACTGTGACCTATGACTTGACCTTTGACCTTCACTTTTGAAAAGTTTGTCTGGGGCATATCGTCTTTACTATTTCACCTGGAGTAACCAGATTTTATCCACTAGCCTTGTTTCCACTATAGGTTTGCACTCCTTCCTTCTGTCCAAGAAGTTTTTCCGGGGCATATCTTCTATACTATTTCAGCTTGAATAACCAGATTTGGTGTACAAAGACACCTTGGGATGGCAGAGTGCAAGAATTAGGTCACTGTGACCTATGACTTGACCTTTGACCTTCACTTTTGAAAAGTTTGTCTGGGGCATATCGTCTTTACTATTTCACCTGGAGTAACCAGATTTTATCCACTAGCCTTGTTTCCACTATAGGTTTGCACTCCTTCCTTCTGTCCAAGAAGTTTTTCCGGGGCATATCTTCTATACTATTTCAGCTTGAATAACCAGATTTGGTGTACAAAGACACCTTGGGATGGCAGAGTGCAAGAATTAGGTCACTGTGACCTATGACTTGACCTTTGACCTTCACTTTTGAAAAGTTTGTCTGGGGCATATCGTCTTTACTATTTCACCTGGAGTAACCAGATTTTATCCACTAGCCTTGTTTCCACTATAGGTTTGCACTCCTTCCTTCTGTCCAAGAAGTTTTTCCGGGGCATATCTTCTATACTATTTCAGCTTGAATAACCAGATTTGGTGTACAAAGACACCTTGGGATGGCAGAGTGCAAGAATTAGGTCACTGTGACCTATGACTTGACCTTTGACCTTCACTTTTGAAAAGTTTGTCTGGGGCATATCGTCTTTACTATTTCACCTGGAGTAACCAGATTTTATCCACTAGCCTTGTTTCCACTATAGGTTTGCACTCCTTCCTTCTGTCCAAGAAGTTTTTCCGGGGCATATCTTCTATACTATTTCAGCTTGAATAACCAGATTTGGTGTACAAAGACACCTTGGGATGGCAGAGTGCAAGAATTAGGTCACTGTGACCTATGACTTGACCTTTGACCTTCACTTTTGAAAAGTTTGTCTGGGGCATATCGTCTTTACTATTTCACCTGGAGTAACCAGATTTTATCCACTAGCCTTGTTTCCACTATAGGTTTGCACTCCTTCCTTCTGTCCAAGAAGTTTTTCCGGGGCATATCTTCTATACTATTTCAGCTTGAATAACCAGATTTGGTGTACAAAGACACCTTGGGATGGCAGAGTGCAAGAATTAGGTCACTGTGACCTATGACTTGACCTTTGACCTTCACTTTTGAAAAGTTTGTCTGGGGCATATCGTCTTTACTATTTCACCTGGAGTAACCAGATTTTATCCACTAGCCTTGTTTCCACTATAGGTTTGCACTCCTTCCTTCTGTCCAAGAAGTTTTTCCGGGGCATATCTTCTATACTATTTCAGCTTGAATAACCAGATTTGGTGTACAAAGACACCTTGGGATGGCAGAGTGCAAGAATTAGGTCACTGTGACCTATGACTTGACCTTTGACCTTCACTTTTGAAAAGTTTGTCTGGGGCATATCGTCTTTACTATTTCACCTGGAGTAACCAGATTTTATCCACTAGCCTTGTTTCCACTATAGGTTTGCACTCCTTCCTTCTGTCCAAGAAGTTTTTCCGGGGCATATCTTCTATACTATTTCAGCTTGAATAACCAGATTTGGTGTACAAAGACACCTTGGGATGGCAGAGTGCAAGAATTAGGTCACTGTGACCTATGACTTGACCTTTGACCTTCACTTTTGAAAAGTTTGTCTGGGGCATATCGTCTTTACTATTTCACCTGGAGTAACCAGATTTTATCCACTAGCCTTGTTTCCACTATAGGTTTGCACTCCTTCCTTCTGTCCAAGAAGTTTTTCCGGGGCATATCTTCTATACTATTTCAGCTTGAATAACCAGATTTGGTGTACAAAGACACCTTGGGATGGCAGAGTGCAAGAATTAGGTCACTGTGACCTATGACTTGACCTTTGACCTTCACTTTTGAAAAGTTTGTCTGGGGCATATCGTCTTTACTATTTCACCTGGAGTAACCAGATTTTATCCACTAGCCTTGTTTCCACTATAGGTTTGCACTCCTTCCTTCTGTCCAAGAAGTTTTTCCGGGGCATATCTTCTATACTATTTCAGCTTGAATAACCAGATTTGGTGTACAAAGACACCTTGGGATGGCAGAGTGCAAGAATTAGGTCACTGTGACCTATGACTTGACCTTTGACCTTCACTTTTGAAAAGTTTGTCTGGGGCATATCGTCTTTACTATTTCACCTGGAGTAACCAGATTTTATCCACTAGCCTTGTTTCCACTATAGGTTTGCACTCCTTCCTTCTGTCCAAGAAGTTTTTCCGGGGCATATCTTCTATACTATTTCAGCTTGAATAACCAGATTTGGTGTACAAAGACACCTTGGGATGGCAGAGTGCAAGAATTAGGTCACTGTGACCTATGACTTGACCTTTGACCTTCACTTTTGAAAAGTTTGTCTGGGGCATATCGTCTTTACTATTTCACCTGGAGTAACCAGATTTTATCCACTAGCCTTGTTTCCACTATAGGTTTGCACTCCTTCCTTCTGTCCAAGAAGTTTTTCCGGGGCATATCTTCTATACTATTTCAGCTTGAATAACCAGATTTGGTGTACAAAGACACCTTGGGATGGCAGAGTGCAAGAATTAGGTCACTGTGACCTATGACTTGACCTTTGACCTTCACTTTTGAAAAGTTTGTCTGGGGCATATCGTCTTTACTATTTCACCTGGAGTAACCAGATTTTATCCACTAGCCTTGTTTCCACTATAGGTTTGCACTCCTTCCTTCTGTCCAAGAAGTTTTTCCGGGGCATATCTTCTATACTATTTCAGCTTGAATAACCAGATTTGGTGTACAAAGACACCTTGGGATGGCAGAGTGCAAGAATTAGGTCACTGTGACCTATGACTTGACCTTTGACCTTCACTTTTGAAAAGTTTGTCTGGGGCATATCGTCTTTACTATTTCACCTGGAGTAACCAGATTTTATCCACTAGCCTTGTTTCCACTATAGGTTTGCACTCCTTCCTTCTGTCCAAGAAGTTTTTCCGGGGCATATCTTCTATACTATTTCAGCTTGAATAACCAGATTTGGTGTACAAAGACACCTTGGGATGGCAGAGTGCAAGAATTAGGTCACTGTGACCTATGACTTGACCTTTGACCTTCACTTTTGAAAAGTTTGTCTGGGGCATATCGTCTTTACTATTTCACCTGGAGTAACCAGATTTTATCCACTAGCCTTGTTTCCACTATAGGTTTGCACTCCTTCCTTCTGTCCAAGAAGTTTTTCCGGGGCATATCTTCTATACTATTTCAGCTTGAATAACCAGATTTGGTGTACAAAGACACCTTGGGATGGCAGAGTGCAAGAATTAGGTCACTGTGACCTATGACTTGACCTTTGACCTTCACTTTTGAAAAGTTTGTCTGGGGCATATCGTCTTTACTATTTCACCTGGAGTAACCAGATTTTATCCACTAGCCTTGTTTCCACTATAGGTTTGCACTCCTTCCTTCTGTCCAAGAAGTTTTTCCGGGGCATATCTTCTATACTATTTCAGCTTGAATAACCAGATTTGGTGTACAAAGACACCTTGGGATGGCAGAGTGCAAGAATTAGGTCACTGTGACCTATGACTTGACCTTTGACCTTCACTTTTGAAAAGTTTGTCTGGGGCATATCGTCTTTACTATTTCACCTGGAGTAACCAGATTTTATCCACTAGCCTTGTTTCCACTATAGGTTTGCACTCCTTCCTTCTGTCCAAGAAGTTTTTCCGGGGCATATCTTCTATACTATTTCAGCTTGAATAACCAGATTTGGTGTACAAAGACACCTTGGGATGGCAGAGTGCAAGAATTAGGTCACTGTGACCTATGACTTGACCTTTGACCTTCACTTTTGAAAAGTTTGTCTGGGGCATATCGTCTTTACTATTTCACCTGGAGTAACCAGATTTTATCCACTAGCCTTGTTTCCACTATAGGTTTGCACTCCTTCCTTCTGTCCAAGAAGTTTTTCCGGGGCATATCTTCTATACTATTTCAGCTTGAATAACCAGATTTGGTGTACAAAGACACCTTGGGATGGCAGAGTGCAAGAATTAGGTCACTGTGACCTATGACTTGACCTTTGACCTTCACTTTTGAAAAGTTTGTCTGGGGCATATCGTCTTTACTATTTCACCTGGAGTAACCAGATTTTATCCACTAGCCTTGTTTCCACTATAGGTTTGCACTCCTTCCTTCTGTCCAAGAAGTTTTTCCGGGGCATATCTTCTATACTATTTCAGCTTGAATAACCAGATTTGGTGTACAAAGACACCTTGGGATGGCAGAGTGCAAGAATTAGGTCACTGTGACCTATGACTTGACCTTTGACCTTCACTTTTGAAAAGTTTGTCTGGGGCATATCGTCTTTACTATTTCACCTGGAGTAACCAGATTTTATCCACTAGCCTTGTTTCCACTATAGGTTTGCACTCCTTCCTTCTGTCCAAGAAGTTTTTCCGGGGCATATCTTCTATACTATTTCAGCTTGAATAACCAGATTTGGTGTACAAAGACACCTTGGGATGGCAGAGTGCAAGAATTAGGTCACTGTGACCTATGACTTGACCTTTGACCTTCACTTTTGAAAAGTTTGTCTGGGGCATATCGTCTTTACTATTTCACCTGGAGTAACCAGATTTTATCCACTAGCCTTGTTTCCACTATAGGTTTGCACTCCTTCCTTCTGTCCAAGAAGTTTTTCCGGGGCATATCTTCTATACTATTTCAGCTTGAATAACCAGATTTGGTGTACAAAGACACCTTGGGATGGCAGAGTGCAAGAATTAGGTCACTGTGACCTATGACTTGACCTTTGACCTTCACTTTTGAAAAGTTTGTCTGGGGCATATCGTCTTTACTATTTCACCTGGAGTAACCAGATTTTATCCACTAGCCTTGTTTCCACTATAGGTTTGCACTCCTTCCTTCTGTCCAAGAAGTTTTTCCGGGGCATATCTTCTATACTATTTCAGCTTGAATAACCAGATTTGGTGTACAAAGACACCTTGGGATGGCAGAGTGCAAGAATTAGGTCACTGTGACCTATGACTTGACCTTTGACCTTCACTTTTGAAAAGTTTGTCTGGGGCATATCGTCTTTACTATTTCACCTGGAGTAACCAGATTTTATCCACTAGCCTTGTTTCCACTATAGGTTTGCACTCCTTCCTTCTGTCCAAGAAGTTTTTCCGGGGTATATCTTCTATACTATTTCAGCTTGAATAACCAGATTTGGTGTACAAAGACACCTTGGGATGGCAGAGTGCAAGAAGTAGGTCACTATGACCTCACTGTGACCTATGCTTTGAACAGTAGGTACCTCCTGACATAAGTGTTCTGTTTGTTAGATATAGAAATCATTACCAGTGGGGGACTATGGATTGCCTTGCAATTCTTTGCCTTGTTTCCACTATAGGTTTGCACTCCTTCCTTCTGTCCAAGAAGTTATGGATTGCCAGTAACCAGTGGGGGACTATGGATTGCCTTGCAATTCTTTGCCTTGTTTCCACTAGCCAGACGCCCAAAGCAAAAACAGAACTTTTTTGTCAGGGCTAGAGAAAATATTTGATATTTACTATGAAAATAAGGTGGACTTAGTAGACTGTTTTTAAATCTTCCTGCAAGCTGATACCCTAAATATGAAATTGTGCATCCCTGGAGTTGTTTATTAATTTGATACAGTATATGCAATGTGAGGTAAGACAAGATAGGTTATAACTAACTTGAATCAAGAAAATATAAATCACTGAAATTAAGTATGAAGATTTTCAGCAATGTTTATTGAACAGGAGTTCATCAACGTTTATGCAGGAAATTATTTTGGAAAGCAAAAGAGGTATTAGGGAAGCTTAAGTGAAAACAGCAACAAATATTTCCTCATAAAAATTAAATGTAAAACATTAAATTGTAATGTATCGCATGTGCATTGAGAACTAGCCAACATTGTAAACATTAATCCTATGTAAACAGATGGTGATGAACCGTTACTCAGTGGCTCCGGTGTGGTCAGTAAGGAGGTGACCGATGAGAACCTACTGGACGCCTGGCACGAGACACTCACCAAGTGGCACCAGAACCTCGCCCAACGCCCCAAGCAGGTACACCACCTGGTGAGGAAAGGCATCCCAGAGGCCCTTCGCGGGGAAGTCTGGCAGCTCCTGGCTGGCTGTCACGACAACTCGGAACTCCTTGAGGCATATAGGGTCCTCATCACTAAGGTAACTTATATGTCATATATAATTACCCAATGCCTTAACACAGAGAAGAATTTGTCAGTCTATAGAAAAAGAATTGTCTGTATAGTTCTCTATTGTATGTAAATGACAAGCTGGTTCTTTGTATTCTTTGTGTGATGCGTGGTTTTGTTCTTGTATTAAGGAGTCCCCCAACGAATCTGTGATACAGAGAGACATCAACCGCACATTTCCAGCCCACGATTTCTTCAAGGAGACCGGCGGACTGGGCCAAGATTCCCTCTATAGGATCAGCAAGGTACTGTAAAGCCTGGATATTTGACAAAACACTGAAAACATATAAATGTGGACTTTGAGATATTTTAGTGGTAAGAAAGATTAGTAAAGGAAATTAGAGACGGTATATGGAGGTTTTACTCAAGCTTCACAAAATCTTGTAAAAAATGATGTGTCAAGCAGATTTGTGGGTATTCAGTGATATAGAGTAAGTTGGGATGAGGAGACATTTAGTCATGTTCTTATAGCCATTTATAATTACTTTGCACCTGAGTATTGTCACAAAAGTCAGATACATTAGACTTCATATAAAAAGTACAAAAAAATAAGTTGCATTGCATTGTTATATAATGGAGTTGTTCAAATTTAAATTGCCTGTGTAAAATAAGAAGTTGTGAGGTGTGATTTCTTGCACATTGAATTTGCAGATTCAAGATTGTTAGGTCTGTGACTAGTAATATTGTTATAGAATTCACGATATAAACCTTAATATGCTGCAGCATATTGTTTTATATTCTTCTTTGAAAATTGCAGGCATACTCTGTGTACGATGAAGAAATTGGATACGTACAAGGGTTGTCTTTCTTGGCTGCCTCACTTCTCCTCCATGTAAGTATTGTAAAAGAGGATAAAATTGTCAGACAGATTGTGTGAATTTCAGCAATTTGCATTTTTTTTTTTTAATAATTATAAGAAAAAACACACACTCCGTAACTGAAGACTACATTGAAGGTCAAGGTAGAATATTGAGGTTTCCAATCTTTCTGTAGGGGATGGATAAGAAATTAATATAAAGAACCCTAAATGTAATCAGTAAATTAAACATCAGTATTTATTTACAGCAATATAAAACATAACTCGGCACAATATGCTGAAGGTTCACAATAGTATAAGATTAAGTTCATAACAAGAGGTCATGTCTTTATAATGTTTGTGTGGGGCCATAACTATTCAATATTTTACTAGAGAACTTTTTGGATGGGACTTGACAGAATAGTTTGTCATTAACCACTCTGCTGTCAAAGCCCAAAGTCAGGCTACAGTAGTAGGGTGTCAAAGGTTAACTCATACTCTGGTGCTTGTCCATGGTTTAGACTGAAGTGATTTTGATGAAACCTTGAAGGTGTAAAAAGCAGCAGATCCACTGGTATCGACAACCACTCTCATGTGTGTACCTAATATCAAAGGGTCAAAGGTCAAATCATTGTATTTATTGTCTATGTAATTACATATTTTGAACAGTTATGACAAAACAAAGTTTTCAATGGGGATATGTATTGTATCGGGTCTAACCTATCTGTCAATATAATTGTGATATTTTCTTTTTTTAATTCAGATGCCAGAAGAACAAGCATTTGCGGTTTTGGTGAAGACTTGCTTTGAGTATGGACTCAGGGATTTCTTCAAACAAGGATTTGAGGAGCTTCATCTCAAATTTTATCAGCTTGATCGTCTTATGGAGGTAAATATTCCGCTTTTCACCAATAATTTTATATCTCAACCTGTAAAGCTCAAACAACCTTTTATCAAGTTGTGAAAATAAAGCAACAGCTGATTCAAAAGAAAATAATAAGTGCAAGTGTATTGAGCAACTTTTAGAGAGCATATAGATATAACATGTTAAATATCTTATGGTCATAAATTGTTGGTGAAGTCACCACATTATGTGTAAAAAGATATAGAAGCTTTCAATAATATTGGAGAGTGTTGGATGCTGTCAGAAAGGATTTCGTTAAGTTTGATTGTGTTTACAGGATCAGCTTGCAGACCTCCACGACCACTTCATGGAGATGAACCTGGAGACCCACATGTTCGCGTCGCAGTGGTTCCTCACCCTGTTCACAGCCAAGTTCCCTCTCTACATGGTGTTCCACATCCTCGACCTGTACCTCTGTGAGGGAAGGGAAATGATGTTCAATGTGGCATTAGCATTACTGAAGGTAATGGAAAGAAATTCCAAAAACAACAACGTGTTTGTATGAAACGCTTCTACTTTGACAGCAAGGGATGTGTTTCCAGGCAACCAATAATCTTGAATTAGTTTTCAACTCATTCCTCATCAGAATATCACTACAGAGGATTTGATTGATCTGTGAATGTCAAGTGTACGTATGGAAAGATTTTAATGAAATGGAAACCTTGTTTGATACAAATATTCAATTATATCATAGACCAGGTTTATTGCAAATTTCAGTAGTTTGTTAATTACCTGTTGAAATATTATAATTTTCAGAATTAAGGCTTTTTCATCCTGATTGTATGGGTTTTCGTTGTTATTACAGAATTCCAGAAAAGATCTGTTAGCCCTAGATTTTGAAGGGATATTGAAATATTTCCGTGTCCATCTGCCTAAGAAATATCGTACTGAAGAATCAGCTAAGGATTTGATGCAAATGGTCATCAGCATCAAGGTAAGTATTGAAAGTCAAGAGAGTTATTTGTTCTATGAAATACCTACCCTAGTGCTTATTTCATTTTTGTGTCGCCGCCATCCAGTCAATATTAAGTCTTTGCATTTAACTTAGTTTCACTGAAAGTATAAGTGCTACACGAAACCAAACTTGGACCATAGATGCATCTTAGGTAGTACATCTCAACCCATGCATCAAATGCTGGATGCAGCCTACCTTGCATGGTCCATTGACTGTCAGCATCTCCATATTCATAAACATGATGTTTTTGCATTTAAGTTTGTTTCTCTGAAACTATAAGTGCTACACCAACCAAACTTGACATGTGCATTGATAGTCCAAGCGGATACAGGCGAGACATATCAATCCGAATGACATGTTATAATACAAATAAATAAAATGTGCACAGTGCTGAAATACAGTGCTGAAATTTGTGTGATTAAATGTTTTGTTGAAGGGTTCATGTAGTGCTATGCCAATGTAGTTGTACAGTTACATGACTGGGTTATTTTGTGCTGCAGGTGTCGAGTCGTAAGCTGAAGAAGTACGAGAAGGAGTACATGGCCATGAAAGAACAAGAGATGCAACAAGAGGACCCTGTGGAGAGGTTTGAGGTAATCAGTGATCTGATTCTCGGGAGTTCAGTATCAAAGTGCAGCCCCTTCAACACTTAACTCATTCACCCCTGAAGACACATGTGAACTCTTCCAATTCAAAGGCTGGAATAGTTCATTATCAAATTTCAGGGGTGAATTAGTTAAGGAAGCATGGCTAATTATGATTCACGATAAAAGATAATTTTGCCGCTGCACCATAATGAGGGGGGAATTATGGCGTTTGTGATTTACCTAGTTCTGTGGAGTTCAGCAGAACCAAAGTGCAGTTCTTTGAAAACTACACAGCAATAAAGTCATTTGACAACAAAGCAAGGCCTATGATTCATGATAAAGGTTTTTATGCCCTGACAACATGAAGAAGGGAGGTGTTCATTAGACTTTGCATTTTAAGTCTATTTCGCTAATACTTCTACTAAGTCAAACAAGTTATTAGCTTCATATGTGAATAAATGTACAGATGTCCCTGTATAAATAATGAAAATAATTTTGTTTCAGCGTGAGAGCAAGCGTCTGTTGGAGGCAAACATGCGTCTGGAACAGGAAAATGATGACCTAGCACATGAGCTTGTGGAGAGTAAGCTGGCCCTGCGGAGTGAACTGGATCAGGTGTGTAGTCTTTTTTCGTTAATTAGGCCAAATCAAATTAATTATTTGGTTCTCATGCCAATTTTATTCAAAAGAGATGCGGCAGGGCGTTATTATTTTTTTTCATTTTACATGGCAAAAACGAGACGAGGGCGATTTTTTTTTTATTGTGTAGTTTGTAAAACTTTCATTGTGGGCATTACCTTGTCTTTTTATAGTTGTGTAGAGACCCGTCATAGAGCAAGCCTCCGAAAATCCCTCACGATGTTCCAGACGAGAATCACGAACCCCCCATTCCTTAATCATTTTAACGCTTGCCTGTATATCAATCCTTATCTTTATTTAAACGTTTTCGGGACTTGGGTGACTAACGAGTAAAAACGACATGCGGACCATATTTCCGGATCGTTTTAAAGACGGCGGCTGGCGCATTCACAATTTTTTTTTATTACTTTCACGATAAAATCGGCAATGCGGTGCCCTAAAATGAAATGCGCGCGGGCCTGAGAACCAAGTAATCAATTTTTTTTGGCCTTAGTTAATTTAATACCATAAACAGTAATTATAAGGTTTCTAATTCCCTTACCTACATCAGAAGCTCTTTTTGACCAGGATCTTCTCACTGTACCGTAATTACTACTACCTATCCATTTAATATGCGTTGTCTCTACATTCCTTTTCAGTACAGAGATTTTGACAAATGCGTTAAGTTCATGTCTCATTTCCTCAGAGTTTAAAAGGCCATTTCCCATATCCTATCATAGTTTTATATCAATATGCAATCCCCATATCTGTCTTTAGGCTGGTACAGGTTGAGTGTCTAATATACGGTAGGATATATATACCAATTTAATTAAAAGACCAAAATATAAATTAACTGAATAGATTCCATCAGAAGCAGGGCTTGTCTCATTTTCATCTTTTAAGTGTTGGTGCAACATTATTTCATGTAATGAAATCTTCTACTTTTCAGATCAAGAATTATTCAACTGGGGTACATTTCAATTTCCCAAAACTTCTCCTGATCTGATTTCTGCTGTATCTTTGTAAAATGCTCTATACCTATGTATAAAAAATCTGTTATTGAATTCAGGGATTCAGGGTTTGTCCTCAATTTTCTCTTTCATGTTTTTGTTTGAAATCTCTTTTATTCCTGGTCTTTCCTCATCTATTATACAAGGTTTTATATTTACAAGATGAGATGACATGTATGATAACAATATTGATATGTATTACTAATACACATGCAGGCTATGATGTATAATTAAGCATACATGCAAACCTTAAATACAAAACCTTCTACATGTACTGTATAATACTGAAGTTTTTGATCAGGACCTACCTACCAAGGTATCATCTAAAACACGCAGGAAACGACATGCCTTTTTTCTGGTTCTTATGATGTTTGCCAATGTTAAGTAAAATTCACAGTAACACCTAAGTATATATGTTAGAGTATGGGGTTCAGTGGCACCACACATAAATGTTAAGGTAATACTGGGTAAGGTTTTCGCTCATGAAGGATTCTTGTCCTTATCTTCCTTCACTCACTAAGTATGTTTACTAATCGCAGTGTCTTGATACTCTATATAAACTGAAGTTATAGTACCAACTATACTTGACTTGTACATGAGAAAAAGGTGTTCGTCTATTACTTTTCCTCCGTTATAAAGCTGTCAAGAAGACTGTATTTTGTTGAATATCAAATATTTTATGTCACTGTTGACACATTTCAACATGATTAGATGTGTTGACCTTTTTGCCATGGGAAACCGATGTAGAGTCATATTGTTACATCATCTTGACCCTCGTTTCCGTGATCTTTCTGACGAGTCCCTCTCTGGTGCTCCGACACATGCTCTGCCTTTGAATGTTGTGTCTCCTTGCATTGAATACTGTTCATTCTTGTGTAGCCCTGGTAAAATATTAGCCGCTACGTATACCTATATATAGCTACCAACTTTTGTTTGCTGCATCAATTGCTCAACTTAGCCTCTTTGTTTGGCATACTAGAATGTTTTTAAATCTGATGAAAGTTGCATTTTAAAATATCCCTCTGTTAGGAAAGTACAAAGATTATATGTACGAGGAAGCAGACTCGAGTCTAGAATCTGTTGAGTTGTTGTAAATAGAGAAGATGTTTATGTTCAGTTTAATGAAAAGCTTCTTGCTTGTTTCCATGAATGTAGAAATTGTGAAAATCAGTTTGATATTTTCTTCTACAATTGCAAAAGTTGAGAAACAAGTGGGATATAATCCATTGTATCATTCAAGATATTTAACAGCTTATGAATATGGAACTCTTTGGTATGGAGATTATGTGTTGTAGTAAGGCATACATCCGTAATGCATTAAAGTTTATAATAATAACAAAGCTTTCTTGTCTCTGATTTGTATCTTTATATGTGTGTTCAGAGATAAAATACGATATATAAACTTTATGCAAAAATATCACCAGTAAGATGTTGTTTTGCTGTTATTTTGTCCTACAATCTCATTGTGACCATTGAGCCATTAACAAAACAATCAAGTGGTATAGTTTGGCCATGTCTATACTGTCTTAAAGGAATGCAGTTCAGTCACGTCCGTTTTATGGTGAAATAATAAAGATTGGCTGAGTTTCTGTTTAAGTAAAGTAGTACAGTTTTAACCAGAGTCTGTGTAGTGGTCATGTAATAAAAGTGATGGCTGTATTTCTGTTTCAGTACCAGGACCAGTGTGAGGAACTGACCACAGACCTGGCCGTCACAAAGAAGCTGCTGACTGACACACAGGAGGAGAAACAGAGGCTGGAACACGAGGCCACACAGGTTGGTTGATCTGAAAAGGTCATACTTAAAGTCTAACATTGTTCTCAACAAAATGCTGTGTGTGTAGAATGAGGCTACACAGGACATATATAGGTAGAAGTTTCATCCTTATGTTAAGTTTCCTGTTTCATTTCTGTACAAAATACTCTGGCTGAACCATTAGGTGACACCCTGCTTGGTCCATCTCCGATACTCCAGGGGTTGCAATAACTCTCGCTTTCTGCTACCCAAGAATATGTCATAGCAAAATTGAAGGCACACAGCTAGCTATTTGATTGGTGTCGGGTAAAAAAACTGACCAAGTGCTAGGCTAATACCTGTGCTTTCAAGATTACAGAGGAGCAACAACAGATTTCAAACCAGCCAATGTAAGGTACTGTTAGGCGACCGCAAATTCTTTTGATTTTCATCAAAGAATCAAACGCAGCATCTTGGTCTAATCCACAAGGTACTGTGCACTGAGCCTTTCATTTTGCTATGACATATTCCAGGGGTGCATAGATCTAAAGCATAAGTGAATGTAACCCCTGAAGTATCAAGGATGTGTCAAGGATATCAAGGATGTATCGAGTATCAACGATGTATCAAGTATCAAGGATGTATCGAGTATCAACGATGTATGAAGTATCAACGATGTATCAAGTATCAACGATGTATCAAGTATCAACGATGTATCAAGTATCAACGATGTATCGAGTATCAACGATGTATCAAGTATCAAGGATGTATCGAGTATCAACGATGTATCAAGTATCAACGATGTATCAAGTATCAACGATGTATCGAGTATCAAGGATGTATCGATTATCAACGATGTATCGAGTATCAACGATGTATCAAGTATCAAGGATGTGCTTGGTCAAACTTCTCAGCCTCTATCAGCTTATTCTCTTTAATATATTGATCTGTAATCACTTTACTATACTGTAACTCTTCTATGTGCTTATAGCGAATGTGTTCCTGGCGCAGAGAATTGTTCCATTAACACAGTTTGCCTGCATCAAACTAGCTTCTGAGGTCCTTGACTGCATCGAAAATTCTTTTACTGGTAAAGTGTTTATTTGTTATAAGTTGTTATGCTGTCGACTAGATTCTTCTGGTGGTGGTAAAGTGATCTATATATAACTACAGCTTATTACCTCTCTACCAGTGAATCATGGAAGGGCTAGACATTTCCCAACTATCCATACTTTGATGTACATGTCTGTCGGTTTGTTCATGTATCAAGAACCTTCTATCCGTGAGATGATTCAAGAAGTATTGCACCGCTGGTTACCTTCTGTTATAAGTGTACTCTACCTGGTTTTTCCTGACACCTTTAACTCAAGCCATGGTGCTGTGTCCTACGTCTGGTAGTTTTGAGGATATCAATGTGCTGATTGGTATACAAGATTATATATTACCTGAAAATTCATGGTCTTTGTCATGTATCAGGTAGTTTTTTTGTGTGGTATACATGTATATAAAACAATATGAAGCAATTTCAAAGAAAGCAATATCTCAGGTGAGCGATACATGGCAATTGGACCTCTTGTTATATCTTTGCAAATTAAACCAATCAGAACAATGCGGTTGCGGAAATCAAGGATATCCTGATGAAGGTTAGTATGAAGGTGGAGGGCTACACAATGTCTACAAACTGCCAGCTATACCGGGCACCATTGGGTAGAGGAATAATAATAGTACTTAATGGAGTGTTTTACAGATGGGGATGTGACATTGATCAGGTTTGTGAGAACTGGGGCAATGCTAAGTCATGTCCAGAGTAAAACCTATCAAACCTGATAAATGGCATATCAAGTGGAATAAAACATTCCATAATAATTATCACACCACTGGCCATTTCCCCCCATGCTTCTTTCTGTAAATTGCACCTCTTTAGGCATATTGCAAGCTATACAATGTATTTACAAATGCAAGTGCTAAGCTGTAGCGGAAGGGGCATAACTCTTGCAGTCTTGCATGTAGCGTAATCCAGAAATAAAAGCACTCCAGAGACAGGATAGAAAAATTGGAGTAATTATATCAAATTGTGGCATTCCAAACTCGAGGGAATAACGGAATTCTAGCCAGTGGCATGATAATTATTTCTACAAGGACCTCATCTTGTTCTTATTTACATCTATATGATTTGTTCCTTTGTAATGTATGTGAATGTGTTACCATTGTGGTCTTGTTTTCCTGTAGGTTAAAGAGATGTGCCGTAGGGAACTTGATCGTGTGGAGGCCGAGAATGGCAGAAACTCTGCCATCATCGCCGACTACAAACAGGTTTGTCTCAGGTGGCAGATAGACAAATTAACTTCTGCTGATGGCTGTCTTAGACAAATGTGACCGAAATAGTATTCTTGTACCTTTCTGTCTAAAACAAGTTTTTCATCTCTAAAAACATATTGAATTAAACATTTTGAAATGGTTTGTATCTTTTTAACATACCCTGAAATGTGTAAAGTTAATTTGGAAATTACAATATCCACATCATCTTAAAGTGGATTGATTCAATTGACTGTTTTTTATGTGGATTTGTTCCAGTTTGTTTTGTAAAAGATCTAGTTACCACATCATCAGTGGAGTGGCTGTAGCAACTGTAGGGTAAATGAAGTGACATGTTGTAAGTGGAATGGTTCTATTCTACAGATTTGTTCCCAACTGAGTGAGCGACTAGAGAAACAACAGACAGCCAACAGAGAAGAGCTAAGCCGGATAATGGTTTGTTGATGACATTTCTCAGTTCTCATAGGCTGAATTTTGTTTTGTTAGATTAGATCAATTGAAATTCATTGCAGGAAACACAGCACATCAATTAAATACCACAAGCTACATTGTTTTAAAAATAGAAAAAGGTTTTATATGTAAGACATGAATTAGTGTTTGGAAAGATGTTTTTAAGGAAAAAGGCATTATATTTCTAATTAGTTCAATTCATAAACATTGCTTCCAGAGAACATTGCAAACAAAAGAGATCAACACAGAAAGTTGAAGGTTTGGGGACTGACAAAGTAAGATTTTCACTGAAGGACAGGACCAACAAAACTATTATGTTATATTAGGATGTTATGTCAGAAAAAAAGGATGGGGACTGATTGCGTGGATATCTAGTCGGATATCTTCCTCAATTTCATTTATCATAATTATATTTCCATAACACGCTTTAAGACAACATATTGCATACATACTCTTTCCATTCTGTTTTCAGTCTCAGGTGAAAGGTTGTGATCAGTGTTCAAAAATGTTTGCTTCTGATGGGAAAGTTCAGCTCCCGGAACCGAAACTAGACCCAGATAGTGTCAACCCAAAGATTGTAGATCTCCACCGACAGATACGTGAGCTTGAACTTGAACTGGCACAGACAAAACTGGCTCTAGTGGAGTCTGAGTGTAAAACCCAAGACCTCACCCACCAGCTGAACTCGGCTGTCACAGAAATACAGGCCTCCAAGAACACTTGGTTCCAGAAAACCATTAATTCCATCAAAGTAGCCACGAACCCCGGCAGTACTAAAAAGGACCAGAAAGAGTGATGTCTGTTAACTATTGATAATGAGTATTCAGAGTAGGTTGTGTGTGCTGGTATGCTTGTGTGTGGATATATTGAGCAGTAGCCTGTTATGCAGGGCACTGAAATTTACCACGCTCCCTAGTCAAAAAGTTCATTTGCAAAAACACACACACTTATTTGTGATTTATATTTAAAACGCCGTGTATGGGAGAAAGACTTTTAAAATATCACGCTTGAAATTTCATATACTTTGTATCCAAGAGCGTGTTTTATGCTTTATTGCATTATTCCTGACAAGTTATAATGCCATTCAGCGATCACTCAAAACATTGAATATATATGACAGTTCCACGGGTTAACATTGAATATGCCGAGAGCACGAACACAATGCTTCAGACTGGTATAAATGGTACAAAACAATTACATAAAAAAGTATGTAAGAGTTCAGCTAATCTCATTGCATTTATAACTGGTAAAGAAGAAGGCTTGGTATTGCTGACAAAGCTTTCTCTCTGGTACCCATTCATAGGGTCATAGAGTGTTACTCCAAAAGCTCTGTTTACCCAGTTATTCAAAGCATGGTAAGCTTAACAAGTTGTTGGCAACAAATTTTTAAAATCTAATTTTTGAAAAATGTCTGAAAATTTAGCAATATTTGGATGTGTCGTACAGTACAGCCTTAGCTTCCTGCAGTAATGGGTATTTTCTGTTGAGGGATATGCCTGATGTATGTGGTGCTATTGTGGATACTAATCTGGTCACTTGTTGTTAGAGGAGTTATAAATTTGGTCACATGGTGTTAAATGGATACCTGTCTGGTCACATGGTGTTTGAGGGGATATCTGGTCACATGGTGTTAAATAGATACCTGTCTGGTCACATGGTGTTAAATAGATACCTGTCTGGTCACATGGTGGTAAATGGATACCTGTCTGGTCACATGGTGGTAAATGGATACCTGTCTGGTCACATGGTGTTAGAGCTACAAATATGGACATGCATTGTTAGAAGGATCCATCTGGTTACATGATGTCCGAGCAAAACAGTCTAGATACATGTACATGATGTCGGAGCGAAACAGTCTAGATACATGTACATGATACTGGAGGGAAACTGTTTTGACATGTGATGTTGGAGGGGATATCTGGTCACATGGTGTTGAAGGGGATATTCGGTCACAAGGTGTTAGAAACAGTCTTGAGGTGTTAGAGGAGATAACAATCTGGATACGTTGTGTTTGAGGGATATCTGGACTCCTGGTGTTTCATGGTCTGGGAAATAGTCTGGTCACATGGTGTTGGAGGGAAACAGTCTTACACAAGTAATGTTAGAGAGAAACAGTCTAGACAAAAGGTGATAGAGGGGAAACAGTGTGTACACATGCTGTTAGGGGAAACAATGTGTACACATGCTGTTAGGGGGAAACAATGTGTACAAATGCTGTTAGGGGGAAACAATGTGTACACATGCTGTTAGGGGGAAACGATGTGTACACATGCTGTTAGAGGGAAACAATGTGTACACATGCTGTTAGGGGAAACAATGTGTACACATGCTGTTAGAGGGGAAACAATGTGTACACATGCTGTTAGAGGGAAACAATGTGTACACATGCTGTTAGAGGGAAACGGTTTGATCACATGGTGTTTAAAGGGAAGCCGACTGGACACGAGTTGTTAGAGGGGAAATATGTCTGGGGACATGGTTTTGAAGGGGATACCATTATGGTCCCATATATGAAGTACCTGTCTAGAGGTCAAGGTCAGATATTGTTTAAAGTTTGTGACACACATCTCAATTGGAGATTGTTTTAAGTTAGTGCAGCACTTGCTGCTTTTCAATAAGTCATTCCTACTCGGTATGGGGGCACTTTTATGCCCAAAGAATGAAAGCAGTTGGTAAGTGTGTAATTTTCTTCAATGCATGATATGGTTGAACAGATTTCAAACTTAAGAGTGGAAAGTTGTATGATGTGTGATCGAGACTATTCTTTGAGAGAACATTAATATATAAATCCAACTTGTTGTTGATTTCAGTAAGTATTTAAATCTGATATTACTACTAAGTATACTGTTAAACCTTTGCTGTTCATCTGTGCACATTTTTGACTACTGGTATTTCATATGATGAAGTTTTCATTATTACAGTCTGTGGTTTTTTACTTGACGAAGGGTGAAAGTAAAGTGATGTTCCTTCAATCAAAAATTTTATTCTAGGAATTGAGGATGAGGATTTTTCCAACATTAATTTGTTGTAAATTCCCTGTACTTAGAATAAATGTATGAAACATCAATTTGATTGAAAATTTAATTTATTTTCCAGTATAGTGCAAAAATGTGCACCTTGGAAACAGCATATTAAAATGTGCAATTTACATTGTTTTGACGTGAACATATAAGTAGATGTAGTTGTTGTGATGCTTGAAAGAACCATTGAATATATGTATTTGTTGTGATATATTGTATTTTATCTACGTTTTTATGACATGGAGGAGTAGTGCTAGTTGTCCTACAATCGTTGTGAACAGAGACCTAGTTGTAATAACCAGTGCTGAAGCTAAGAGAGCTTTTGATATTCATAAAACTGTTCTCGTGCTCAAACGTAACTTCTGTGGTGAAACCCATTTCCTTGTTCCGCTGATGAAGTCCAAGTGCTTTGGTAGACTTCAATTTTTGACTGGCACGATTTACAAGAGAGTTGGTTGGAGCAGAGATACCAAGCTTGAGCATGAGAATGGGTTTAGGAAGGACCCAGGCTGATCTTTGTCTGGTATTTCATTACATTGGTGCCAAGCACAAATTAATAATGTATTCTTATGTTTCGTTAGAGATGACCAATTTTAAGCTTCATCATGTTTGTAATCAAATCTGAAAGAGAAAACATCTTCTTTTTTAGAGTCCTTCCTGAAACAGTATTTTTTTTTTATATTGTTACATCGGATGATTTTATATCAACTACTATTAAAGTATTTTAAAGCAAACTTTTTTTATTTCATAGATTATACACTTGTGTATTTCTAATTTCAGAGAATTTTATTAGTGAAATAAACTTCAGTCCTTGTATTACAAAGAGGTCTTTGGTGACAAGATTGTAGATTTTTTGAAAGAACAATGCAAACTGTTGTATAGAGATGTACTAAGTCATGTAGTTATGCACTGTAATCATATTCCATCAGCTTGGACACTTTTAACTGTCACAGCCATTCATGACTTTTATCATCTCAATAATTCCAAAGATTTTTTCATCGTTGTACAATTAAAATATCATTAAGTCAAAAGATTTCAAATCTCCCCCCGCCCTCTCCTCTCACTGCATTCCTAGTATACGTTTCACAATCGAATTCCTCACAGATTTCTCTGCCTCTCCTTTCACAGTTTTGGTCAGATACCACAGAAAAGTTTGTTTTTTGGTATGTGTGGGTGGAAAATGTGCATTTTATCCAAAAAAAAATAATTCATGGACTTTTTTGTAATGGTCACCATATAACACTTTGTCTAAAAGTGAGAATTTTTGGTTATTTTTTTTAATTGATCCATGATACAAAGCGAATGTTTCATTTAACTTTTACATAACTTACCTGTATGAACAAATTGTATATGACTTTTAAATCATGTGAGGCATTTAAACTCACGATATTCTTTAAAGATTAAAATTGCGCATTGAGAAATGTGTTCTTCAAAAGTTGAAATTGCAAGTTGAGAAATGTGTTCTCAAACACATGTTGATATCTTGAAGAGCTTTAAAGAAATTTATTTACGATCTGCACTATTAAAGATAAAATTTCATATGCAGGGTACCTTTCAGAAATGAAAACGTTATTAAAGATTTCTTACATGTTGTCTCACTTGCTGAGAGTTCTCTGCACATGGTCAGCAGATTTTTTCTGCAATAGTTTGTTGAGAACTTTAAATTCTGAATTTGTCATAGTAACGCAAGCCTCCATATATGGTAGCTCCCTTAGCAACTCTCTCATTTGACTCTCAGTGTACTGTCCGACCTTGCTTCATTTGTATATAGAGACTTTATTTATAAGAAATCCTTTCCAACTTAAATGTTGCTGTTGACAGGCACTGGCTTCTTATATTCAGTTATGTTTAAAAGAGAAAATTTCAGTTTTTTCCTTTTCTGAATCGCAGTACACGTATGCGTTTTCACGTTTTCATCAGAAATATATATAGAAATTACTTTCTTTAAAAGAGAGCATATCAGGTTTACTTTTTCCGAATTGCAGTACATGTATTAGGAAAGTGTCATAAGAAAATAAAATATTGATGTTGAGTTTTGAAAAATCTACTATTATTACTGAATAAAATACATGCGTTTTAACAAAATATAAGTGATTCCAAAAATTACAAAAAGAGTATTATTAATAACTACACAAAAAAATGGGTTTTAATGATATTGTCGGGGGGAAATATTTTATTTCGAAGTGTGATCGTAATTGAAAACAATTTTTTTTCAAATTTGAAAATGTGTTGGGTAACCGACACCTGTGTTTAGGATTTTTAATACATGATCGTAAAATTTTGCTGTATTTGTAGACTCCAAGATGATTTTCTAATTTTGTTTATTACCGTAGAAAAGGTAGTATCATTCTCCTGCTATATGTAAGTCAAATCCAAATGCTATCTCCCGACTGCAGTTTGTCTGTCTCTACGCCTGTGAGGAACACTGTACATTACTATGAGTAATAAAACACTAGTCATGAATGCCGGTTTTGAGTCTTTTGTTATCTAATAAACAAAAAAACTAATTTATTCTTGACAACTGCTTACGTTAACATATTTTTCATGATTTTTATGACATATAAAATAGTTTTGGGCAGATACCTGAATGATGAACATACCTATTCCACCTTTACTGTTTAATTTTGCTCTTCATTTATTTCGCAAAGGGTGGTTTTCCAAAATGACCCCTCATTCGATTTCATTTTCTTAAAGCCTAAACCTTATCACAACAAAAACACCAACGAAAGTTAAAACGTTTTCTGTAGAAACATTATTGAAATTCTCAAAAAGTATTGAGTTTTTTCCCCAAAACAAATATTGCATTGAAGGATCATTTATGATGCAACCAAAATTAGGAATCGTATGCTACAGTGAACATGTAAAAACTCCTTGCTATTTTTCCAGTTTGGATGGAATGAATATTTAATTGACAGAGAAGATGGTTGGAAAAGATTCGTTGGTTTATTCCTTTTCAAGATGGCCACCAAAACATTCATTTTACTGCCAAATCAGTTGTTAGATTTCCAGACAAATTTTTTGCAATATCAATGCAATTAAGAGATTGTGTTTGTTACTTTGTTTATATATTTTTAGGTCACCTGAGCTTTGCTCAAGTGACCTATTCCAATCACTTTCTGTCCGTTGTCGTCCTTCGTGCGTCATGCGTAAACTTTTTACATTATCAACTTCTTCTCAAGAACCAGTGGATGGAATTTTTTCAAACTTGGTCAGAATCATCCTTGGTAGATGAGGCTACCAAATTGTAAAATTGGGATTCCTACCCCAACCCTAGGGGCCAGGGTGGGGCCCAAAAGTGAAAAATAACCAATATTTCAAAAATCTTCTTCTCCAGACTTAGAGGTATTACAGTCATTTTCTCTGCATGGATGGAAAGATCATCAGGGGCTTTATTTAAATTGTAAATTTCAGGACCCCCGAGCTATCCGTTCTCCCTTGGGGAGGGGGTATAGGTTACTATAGTTTATATAGGGAAACAACACTTTTGGGTATATTTTGACAATTTTCTGTTGGAAATTATTTTTACTTGGTGAGAATTATCCTTGGAGGAGTAAGATGGTTTTAAATTGTAAAATTGGGATTCCTACCCCAACCCTAGGGGCAAGGGCAGGGCCAAAAAGGGAAAATTAACCAATATTTCAAAAATCTTCTTCTCCAGCTTTAACAAGGGTTTTGTCATGTACATGCTGGTAGACCGTTGAAAGCTTTAACAAGGGTTTTATCATGTACATGCTGGTAGACCGTTGAAAGCTTTAACAAGGGTTTTGTCGTGTACATGCTGGTAGACCCTTGAAAGCTTGAACAAGGGCTTTGTCATGTACATACTGGTAGACTGTTGACAGCTTTAACAAGGGCTTTGTCATGTACATGCTGGTAGACCGTTGAAAGCTTTAACGAGGGTTTTGTCATGTTCATGCTGGTAGACCGTTGAAAGCTTTAACAAGGGCTTTGTCATGTACATGCTGGTAGACAGTTGAAAGCTTTAACAAGGGCTTTGTCATGTACATGCTGGTAGACCGTTGAAAGCTTTAACAAGGGTTTTGTCATGTACATGCTGGTAGAACGTTAAAAGCTTTAACAAGGGTTTTGTCATGTACATGCTGGTATACCGTTGAAAGGTTTAACAAGGGTTTTGTCATGTACATGCTGGTATACTGTTGACAGCTTTAACAAGGGCTTTGTCATGTTTTTAACAGACCTTATTTTTGTTATCATTGAGAATATCCAGGTTTTGGTCCAACATGGTCAGAATGGATGCAAGAAAGAAAGGAGGCGGGAGGGGGCTGGCAGTTTTGTCAACAACAATGCACAGGTTATTCGCAATGATTTCTAAGTCTGTTTTGAACTAGGATATATATGTATGTAAACATAATTTCTATTCAGATCATTTTCCGCCAGAGGCCCCTAGCTTTATTTTTATAAATCTGGCCTGGCATTAGCGTGGCATTATGCATATTCAAATATCACACAAATGAGTTTTAAAAAACCCCACTTAAGATTGTTCTCTCATCGTGAAGGGGGGGGGGGACACATTTATTGACTTAAGATCAAATGAAAGGTCGTAAAGTTGAGATTGATATGAGATGTACTGCGGTCCAATGGTAAATCTTCATGCTAGCAAACTCCAACAAAACAAACTATTTAATTACAACTGTGTTCGCTTACAGACGGTAACTATTATGTACACGAGTGACCGACATTTTTCTATTCGGTGGCAAGAAATGTTTGACATTATTTACTTTGCGTGTACACAATTTTCTGATTGTGAAGACGGTAGTTTGTTTTCCTGTCTTTATTCGTTTCGTTTGTGTACAAACTTTATACATTCTATTTGGTGGTTTCCTCCTAGCGTGCCGTCATTTAAGCATTGAATTGCTTTCAGTTGGCATTCATAGGCAATATGAATACCGCGCTTCATGTTGAATATGTCTTTGTCCAGTTGGAATTCATACTACCTATCATTTATATTTACCATTTTTGGAATTTGTTCATCTCATATCAAATTCAATTCATAGGAACAATGAATCCCAACTGGATAAAGGCAAATGCAACATAAGGCGCTAGCGCGCTTCATTGAATTTGCCTTTGTCCAGTTGGCATTCATATTGCCTATGAATGCCAACTGAAAGCAGTTCAATGCTTAAAAATACCCCTACTTAATTCAGTAAGCATTCATACAAGCTATGAATGCCATTGGCCGATTATTGACGTCATCATTGTTACGTTTGATACAACTGACCCTCCCTTTGCGATGGTTGTTCTATTCATTGAAGGTCAGTGGTATCCAACGTAACAATTATGACGTCATAATAATGATGACGTCAACAATCGGTCCATGGCATTAATGCCAACTAAATTTGGTAGGGTTATATAGTGGCAATGCCATACGCAGATAAATATAACGTTATAATATAAATGATTGAATATTGACAACCAATGGATAAGTCTCAAATTTTACCCTTGCATTAAATGTTTGGTGTTTTTTTTTGATATTTAATTTCTGTGTATATTAATTTTGAACATCTGCAGTTTGTAAAATGCATCATATGTTGTTATGTATTTGTAATATTTATGTAGAAATTGATTCAAAAGTGGCAATCGTGATAATATTTTCTAAGTTGACTGAACATTTTACATTAATTTTTTCCCTCAACAATTTTTAATAAGACAGAAGTTTTTTTCTCTCGTTTTGACCGCACCGCCTCAATGCCGGAGCCCTAGAAAACCTCCATGCTAATTACATTATTTTTGTACAAAAAAAACCGGAAGAAATATTTATAGATTTCAACGCCTTCACCAAAACCACATCAGTCCCTGCTTGTACTCTTCGTAAAGGATAGTTAAAAGCAGTCATTTGATATTCACGTTATAGAAGTTAATATAATTTTTGTTGCAATAATAAAAAAGCCAGATTTTCAAACTTGAATATGTTATTTCAAAGAAACAAAATTGTTCGATCTGACCGTTTTTTGGGAGATCAATGTGCGTGTATTCAAAATAGTTTGACACTAGCTATTTATAGGTGGTCGGTGCCTCAGGGTGTTTTGTAGAATATTGGATTGTTGACGTATTAGGTCTTATTTGCTTGTCAAATACACGTAAACAATAGTGACGAATAGATAAAGACAATGTTTAATTGCGTGGATTTTACAAAGTTTTCGATTACCATGTCGGTCCGTCCCGGGGACTTATCCTTTGTCCTTCCTTACACGTCACGCGGTCCACGTAGTAAATTGTACCGTCCACATTCATGCGACAGGTAACGTTATTAATTGGTTTATACGACATCAATAAAAACACCGCTAAAGACGTATTTGTGTACCCTCGTTTAATAAACGTCTGTTATAGAGGATAGCAATAGGTTTTAACTTCATGATAACTAGCTTTTAAATGGATTCTTCAAAATTTTATGACCTAATGTTTCGTTCGGTTGAAAGCACGTATTTGAACTTTATTTGTATAATGAATGGGAGAAAATGTGGTTTGATATCAATGTAGATCAAAGTTTTCTTTATAAGGTATAATGGAGGTTTTTATTTACGTTTGATTTTATATCCATGATCTGTAAATGATAGAAGCCGTTACATATCTATTAAAACCTATTATACACGATAAACTATATATATATATATATAGAAGTAATAGTAAACGTGTCCTCCTAAAAATGCCGAGTTAGAAAACATAAACATGCTCAATATCAAATTGTCCATGAATCTTTTATTTTCATTTCTGTTTGTAGGAATTTTGTAGATTGATATTGATCCATGTTAAATGGCACTGTCATATTAGTATCGGTCCATTGTACATTTAAATATCACGGTTGGTTTCTCTCCGACGGCCAAATACGTTTGATACTTTGTAGATATACTAGTTCATGAACCCATAAATGTTACTTATCGGATATCAATTCGTAAAATACTAATTTGAACGCCGTCTGGCAAGTTCCAGGGTCGCGAGCCAACACGCACTTTACGATATATACAAACATATATAGCCTACATCAACTCGTGTTAAATATTCTGGAGTTAATTAGTTCATAAATAATTAAAAATATAACCAACCACTTATTCGTGTTAATTTTCTTTATTCCTGGTATGATAATAGGTATATACGCAAAACAGATTCTAGTGTAAAATATATCACTAACCAACAGAGGCGGATGCAAGAATTATTCAGCGCCACTTCCGGTGGGGTGCACTTAGAGTGCGAAAGACAAAATGCCCCTAAAACCCCTGTGCCTAGTCCAGAACTTTTAAAACTGAGTATGTAGAGATCATCGAATTTCATCATGAATGACACCAGATTTGGAAATTAGGATCAAAGTCCCTTATCAGTATCTACTTTTAACAATTTTCCAAGTGTCTCGTCTGTAAACTGCAGACAGAGCGGTGTCTGAATCTCATGATCACCAGGTCAATCACGTGACTTGAATAAAAGATCAATACAAAAGATAAACACTTTCTCTACATAAGTTAAACAAGAGTTCTAGATTTAAATTTGTTATACGAAAATGTCAGTAAAATCCTGATTATAAAAAAAATTCCTAAGAATTGTATTTCTGCTACAAACGCCAAAATTTAAATATCCGTTATAAATATGTGGATGGTATGGAAATAGCTCCATTGCAGGTGACGCAAACGGTCACACACTACCAGTCAGTCTTATTTTACAGAATGTGGTCAAGCTTTATATATTAATAAATGCAAAATCTAACGTATCAGAGTAGAAATAGAAACAAAAATGCTATAGCAAAATGTTTCAGGTACGGGACGCCCCAACACAATTAACGAGCTCCAAAGAGAAAACGAGAGAAGGAGAACCTCATGGCGCTTTTTGTCCAAGCTGGCGGATGTGTTAACTATTGACAGGGAATGAAGGCCGTCATCGAAGGAGTTTGCTTCTTAAGTATTACAGAGAGTTTTTGTTGGTAAACACCATACAGAAATACAAATATATACATACGTAGGCCGGTGTCTGAATATTTACATAAACCACATACAGGCGCGACAGTATAGAAAATCTAACGCAAGGCACACACACCAGTAACATTGGCAAGGTGAACAGTTTTTTTTACAAATTGTCCACATACATGGTTGATATGAAACGAACATATAGAATATAAATAATAAATTTAGTGTCGCATTTTAACATATATACAACTTTGTCAGGACAAATTATATAAATAGGACATGCAAGGTATTAGCGATTCTACTGAATATCACAGTCTACAACAGAAACCATTTAACAATCCGCCAACATGACGCGAAATCAAACATTAGGTTGTATATCCATATGAAGCATGGTTTGGCCACGAATGAATGTGTTAGTTAATTAAAATTTAACGAATTTAGTCCACACGCAGCACACCATTGTCATGACCACTACCGTCAACTGACATCAACATTGACACGTGCATCACACATCCGCCGGTGTTGTAAGTATTTTCCATCAAATATGTCAATAAAACCATTCTTGTTGATTTGTCCTCAATCAAAATGTTGTATCACCCATGCGCATTCCTGGTTTAATCCATCGACAGAGTGTGCGTTCTTCCCCTGGGACATAGCAACACACGCGCACGCACGTAAGCACGTGCTGCACTTCTGATGACCGAGCATGCAATAAATACATCAAGTATGACAGAAGCTATCCCACTGCTGCCGTTGATGTCGACACTAATTGTGGGAAAATATTTCCTTTGTGGTCAGTTCACGGTCTCGTTCAAGTTTTTCATTTGTTCGTATATAACGGGCCTTTTTTGCCTCTTCATACGATGAATCAAAATTTGGCAGCGAAAACATTGTCTTAAGGGAACCGTCCGCATTGTACATATCCGGGTCTAAAACGGGTTTCCGGAGCAATTCGTCGACCTGTTGTTTGGACATCCGCCGTTCTGGCCGCGGTCGTGGCGCATCTTCAGGTTCCTGTTTGCCGGGGGAAGCAGAAATATCGCTGTTGGTGTTACCGGCCGAAATCTCCGGGCCAGCTGATGTTGTCCCTTTACGATTGTTTTGTTTCCTGTTAGATCCGGGGTCTGATAATGCTGACCCTTGACCACTGATATAGTCCTTAGTCAGTCTTTTGGACACTTTGTTCCGTACATTGGCCATATCAATGTTCGCGAGTGTCGCCAAATCTAATGACTCGTTTTTCTGTGACAGATTTGACTGTAAGGAGCTCCGCAGTGAAGTTTCTGGCACTATCAGTGACGACGTGTAAATGTTGAGATGTTCCTTTTGGTGCTTCCCCGCTTTCAGTTTATGTTCTCTATGTACCTTTGTCGTCCCTTCTTTAAGAACGCCCCCTCTCGCTTCCCCTGATCGAGCATCTATGGTAGTCGCCGAGTTAATAACCTCGTGTTCTATGCCAGGTCGCGTTGCCTCTGAATAGGACTGTTCCGCTTGATCGGATTCAATTTTGCCAATCTCCGTCAATCGTTTAAAAGCTAAGCGCGGCGTATCGATATCGATCTGATTGATTGAGGAGCGATACACGGGAGATTTAGCACCCCTTTCACTGGGCGGAGGTGTTCTAGTATAAATCTGTGTGTTGTTGTGCAAGTCTCCAAGATATTTGATGATCATAAAACCGTCGACTTCACCGTCAGCGCTATCTATGGACTGTCCTTTTAAACCCACGACATGGTCCATACTTTCTTTCGACTTTTTCATTTCGTTCGTAGCAACGTTTGTGTTTGTTTCTTGCACCGGAATATCTGTAAAATTGAATACAGGGTGATGGAATTTCTTATCAGGTGTCAATAAAGTTTTGTTAGTTGGTTTATGTATGCCCTGTCGGATTTTCTCTAATTGACGTTCAGCCATACTCTGTTCCTTACTTAGTGTCTGTAGATTCCCGGTTGCTCGTGCCGGACCCATCGTCCGTATCCGGCCTAGTTCTCGTGCAATCGCGCGCTGCTCATGGTTCACCTTTTCCAGATTTAATTTGTATACTGCTTCCGGTCCATTTTTGCCTCTTAAGTTCAAATTTAATTTCCGGTCCTCGCGCTTATTACGCTCACGTGCGACTTCTTGTGAACGGTACGTTTTGAGTAAGTGCCCACTCATTTTGGCTGTCGTAATATTTTCAAATGAAGTCAATTTGAAATAATCGTCAAATCACGTGTAAACATTTCAATATAGCACTGTTGCACGCGCACCACACCGACAGCATGCGTCATTAGAATTAACAAGCACTGATTGCTATTTCTGACGTTGTTAACCTAATGGATTCCTATGTGTTGAAAATCAATTCCAGTCTGACTCCCCAACCTGCAAATCATTCTTCACCTGTGGAACTCCCAAAACTTTAATCTCGCCATTACGCATATCTGTAACAAAAATTAAAACAAAAGTTAAATGTTTGGTGGCCATTTTTTAATTTTTGAACTGTTTACATGTGTTTATTAATGAAATTTTAAGGATGTTTATAAACTGAATTAACAACACTCGTTTGGTAACTATCAATCAAACCATTGTGTACCCTTTTATACGTACAAACTCGCATATATTTGTGTATTTATTTTCGTCTCAAAGCTCGATATTATAAAGACAATTAAAACGTCCACAACAATACCTGTACAAATTAGCCATCGTGACTTAACTGCCAACCAATGACACATACAATTACTTCAAGGTGGGTGCGTTACGACTTGGCACACCGTATACGTAAATAAGATAAATCTATATTGGTAAGGTACGTGCATATTCGTGAATCATTGATATATATTTCTTGTTGAATATCAAATATATTTTTCATGAGTACGACATTTTTTTCTGCTTCGTACTCGTGAAAATATAAACAAAATCTGATGTACGAGTGTAATTCAATGGAAAACTATTGAAATACATCTATGTTCACATTATCCGCTTTTGCAGACCGTGAAAAGTATATAAAGGAGTTTTTTTTGTGTCAAATAGTGTAAAATGACCAACATGTCAAACTGACTTAACAATATGGACAATCGTTATAAGATCGATATATCTTATTGTAAACACATTTGTGGTAACGTGATCTGACCAATGTATTTCCCTGTAATTGTACAAGGACGAAAGGTATATGGTTCTGAAAGAGCCCTTGTACTTCGACTGTGAGCAAAAAGAAATACAGCTACATACATGTGCAACATTTCCCACAGGGAAAATCTGACATGATGTATTGCACAGACAAAACACCCTAACAAATATATATTTATCCAGGCTTGGAAAATAATTATACTATTCTACAACTTGCATGTTCGGAATGTTTAATATTGATACATTGTACACCCATACACACTGGCATATCAATGCACAAATTGTTTACCCCGTTTCCGTTCTTATAGGGCAAAGAGCTTTTAAAGCAAGGTAGCGATTTTGGTTTGTTACCATCTGACGCATGTAAACATTTATACCTTAGTAAACAAACTCAGCACATACTTTATTACGTACGATAAATTCCTTTCAATGTTTTCCTCTACATTTACGACACGATGTTCACCCATGATAGCGGTGTCACCTTGTGACCTGGGAGATGAAAATCTCTTCGGCAAGTTTTGGCAAGCTTTAAATTCACGAGAAAGAGGAGAAACTAGATTTGTTAGCTTTACACAAGTATACACAGTCATATCGATCGATTATGTAAATATTTGTGTCGTTTCTACATTTTGTCTGACATAACAGTTAATTCAATTTCCCCAAGAGAGCTTGGGTTTGATTCCCTGATCGGACGTGTAAAATAGAGTTCCCTCCTACACAGATTTTCTCCGGATACTCTGGTTTTCTTCCATATAAAGACATGTACGCTTCCATTCAGGCAAACAAAGGTGACTTTTAAAAGTATAAAAAAAGCAACGTCAGCTATTCTAACAGAAACAAAATCCAATACATATTGATACAACACCATGAACTGTAAGTTGCAACCCATATAATCACAAGTGCATTCTTAACAACACACAAAGTTATATGGCTGTATGCATGCGTAATTTAAAAATAAACATTAAAATATTTTCCTACTTCATTGAAAAGTATGATTTCAATTTTATTTTGGTTCAAGTGAAAACCATTATACTTCTTATGGTCGTACTTGTAGCTTTTGTATTCGGTAACTTTACGATGGGATACAATGGCTGTACGTGCCGTTATTAACCCGTCAGAGGGGATTGTTCACTTTTTGTTACTGCTCTGGCGACTCCATTCTGGACAGACTTCGTTCAATATTCACTTACTGCTCTAATATGAGATTATCTCGAACTAATTCGTGTTTAAAGTTTCCAAGGTCAAGGTCATCCTAACTATTTATAGAAAATCGTTGCCATCACTTTAGTGAATTTATTTCTGAATAGATTTCGACAAAACTTCATACATTTGTGATATGATATGATAATATCTTGAGCGATATTATCGATATATGTATATAAATAACACACCTAAAAGGAGAATAAAACTACAAGTACGAAACAAGAATTGAATTGAAACGGACTAACCTGAAGAAGGTCTCTTTAAAAACATGGACAACAACATACTATCAAAACTAACATTCAAAAGACACAATCTACCCTCGATGAACAGAGACCGAAAAAAAGAACTGAATAATTCAATAAAGCAAAATCTAAGAATACGCGAAAGGCATGGGCCCTATTCAAAGAACAGAAGAGAATAACACAGAGAAATATATGACAAGCCCATTGGGATTCTGTTAATTACACACTTGAAAAACAACTGGAGGAGGGAAACAAAGAGTCGTTCTGGAAATACATAAAGGCAAAGTGACAAGATAAAATCGGGGTGCATGTAGCAGGTATCGTGATCGAAGGTGTGTTACATCAGGTTTTCAACAACTATATATGGCAGACAGGCTAGTGTGACAAAATGTTACAAGACTACAATGACAGCCCCTTATCAGAACGACGGAGACAACAGCGACTGGTGTTTTGTTCTGTAAAATTGTAAATGGTAGCCATGCCCCCTGACACACTATTTGTATTCAACACAAGACCATTAAAAGGAATAAAATACTTAATCATAATCATGAAAAATAAAAACACCCCCTCATTTATTCCATCTACGGGCGGTTATAGACAGGAACAAACCATCAGATCACATCATCAAAAGCTAAGGTGTTGAAATCGTCAAGGCTCTGCACTAGAAGCACATAGAGACGAAGTGAATAATGCTCACTCATTGTTCCTGGTAGACATATGCTCGGCGGTGAGCCAATTACCAGTTACCTCCAGATATTCCGTCTTTGCGTATGGCAGAGTTATCTTCTCTTGTGAGCAGGTATTGATTGTTACGTCATCGGTTTGTGTGAGAAAATTACGTCGTTTTCTCAAAAATTGATTACACTCACAAACCAATAACGTAACAATCAATACCTGCTCACAAGAGAAGATAACTCTGCAATACGAAAAGACGGAATAGATGCAGTTTCTGTGTATGACGGTGCCAATATCAATGTGAAGGTCACAATCATTATTATTTATAGAAACAAAATAACTTTTGTTATAGCTCTGGATACTTCAATCCTGAACCGAGTTCCGTGCAATGCTCATACATTTGTTCGGGGTAACGTGTATTGTATTTCATTTTAACAAATTTATTGATAAAGTTGTTACAAGTTAATCGGATGGGATAACAGGCAAAGCCTATATAAATTCTCTCCAATGGTGGCTAAAATAATGGATTATGTAGCAATAACTAAAAAAAAATATGTTCAAGTTATCTTTGTGTGTATGAAATAAGGTAGCAAATTGCAGCCCCCACGCGCTCGGTATGACAACGGTATCTACTAATGATGGAGCCGCACTAGGATCTCTTTATAAACACCTCCGTATGTAAGAGAGAAAACATAGGTGTCAGAAGTGTTAGAATTGGTACAGACAGCAGATCAGGTATGGTCTCTTCTGTGTTCCTTATAACAAGACAAATAGAAATAACCCGAATCTACAGGAGTACCATATAAGTCGTATCAGTGGACCATGTATTGTGATACAACATGCTTATTTTCGAACGTCTCGGAACATGCAGAGCTGTAACAAGTTTACGCTCAAAGCTCGTCATGTCAACCTTGTTCGGGACCATGACAGACTTAGTGACTGGTTTATATATAAACTTTATTTATTTTACAACAATTATGAAACACGTTTTTCCAACTTATATTAATCACTCTTGTTGGCCTGGATGTTAGCACACGGGAGGTCATAATGTGGGAGGAAACCGGAGTACCTGGAGAAAACCCATGTGGTCGGGCAGGTGACCCAAAAACCTTTTCACGTCCGATCGGGGAATAGATCCCCGGTCGCCTTGGTGAAAGGCAAGTGCGCTATCCACTGCGCCACCCGACCACCCGGTCGTCATTGGTTTGATATGTCCGAGTTTGAATACATGGGTACGAAATCCACTTTGAAATAAATGATGTTTTGGAGAAAATCAAGTTAGAAATTACGACTTTGAATTTAGGTAATACAGCATTTCAGTCTTCGTTCCCGTATGACGAGACAAATATGTTCAAGGGTCACACAGAGTTCAGAGCTAACGTTCTTGACGACTACATCTAAAGACTCTTTGTTTGCTATATAAAGTTTTGTATAGCTTTGCTATAAAAGGGTTATCTGTCTTCATTGTAGTTAAACACATGATCTCTATGGTATATATCGATATCTATAAACCTACCCACATCCCCGTGTAATATACTTAAGTTTCATTTATATAGAGTAGATAATACATTTTCTTTAGGATTCGTTACAGCGTATAAGATGTCCAATGCCTTGTATACTGCTCCAACAATTTCACACAAACAGTACATACAGACCGGCTTAGGATTCTATAGGTATGTAGTTCTGTTCTTTGTACCTGTTTACTGGGAATACACATTGGAGGACCAGTTTAGAAGCAAATACCTGTTTAGCATATCTGATTTATAGTCAATACGTATACATGAAAACCTCGATATAATGTCCCTCGTTTCATTTGTCATCTCATTTACTGCCAACATATTTCAAGATGCCTTTTCGCCTTTTCTAAAGAAATAGTATATATGTTCCCTCAATTTATCGCTGAGCCCCCTTATAACGCCAACATTTCTCTTGACAAACGGTGGCAGTATAACGAGGTTTTTACTGAAAATGATGCGATTTCGGAATAAGATTGAGGGAGGCGTCGTCACACTTGACTGATTTCTGTCAGCAATTCCAGGCATTAAAAAAGGTATCTGATGTTTTGGTTCATTGTTATTCATATTTAATTTATCCACCGAGGCACATACACCATACTTACTAGTAAATCTACTATTATGATTCAACATTGGGTATCAAACATACTTATTTCTCCCACACTCGATGAGTGTATTCCG